TACATATACAATACAAAATTGAGTAATTGGTTTAATTACCTCATCCATTCTTCTTTGGAATATTTGTGATGCATTTTTCAACCCAAATGGCATTACATTCCATTCGTATTGTCCTAAAGGATTGGGGGTACTGAATGCAGTTAGTGGTTTACTTTCCTCTGTAAGCATAATTTGCCAAAACCCTGACTTACAATCAAATTTTGAAAATATCTTTTTATTTTGTACTTGTTTAATAAGGGTATCCTTATTTGGCAAGTAATACCCATCAAACTTAGTTACTTCATTTAATTTTTTATAATTTATTACCATTCTGGCTTTTCCTCTTTTTATCTCACTATGTTTTCTAACCATAAAGGCTGGACTGCTATGAGGACTTTTACTAGGCTTAATTAATTTAGCTTCTAATAATTCTTTTATATGGTTTCTAAATTCTTTTTGATCATCAACACTATATTTCATAGGTTTAACTCTAACAATAGTATCTGGATTGGTTAATTCTATTTTTACCTTTACTTTATCTATATTCCATTTTTCTAATGGATTTTCAGAATATGTTTCAGAAATTTCCTTTTTCAATTTTTCAATCCTATTTTCTATTGTCATTTTTAAGACTGTAACTGGTTTAAATTTTTCTGTACTCCAACATCCACCACACTGGGTTGAGGAACTCTGATGTTTTATTTCTCTATATGCAATTGTAACGGCTTTATTTATTTTTGGTGTAAATAACTTATGTGCACAAGGTGTTGTGAACATATATTTATCAATATATTGTGTAAATGGTGCATATTTTAATAGGAAATTTTGTCCTAATAAAATATCACATCCAATTGTGGTTGACATATATATTGTATCAACAAATACTTCTCTAAAGGAAATTAGAAAAGGTACTTGAGTAGCATAGTTGCTATATATTACCTTATTTCCACCTGCTGTTGTAGCAGTTATAATTTTCTTTGAATTATATTTCCAATATTCAGATGGCAGTACATTTGGTAAGCATAAGCTTATAGTACTTCCTGTATCTAAATAAGCATGAAATTTAATTCTACAATAATCTTTTATATTGAGTGTAATTTCAATATATGGGCTCATGGAATTAGTACTAATTACTCTTTCCATGATAACAATGATTTCATATTTTCATCTATTCTTGAAATGATAATTGGATTATCGTCAACTGTTATCTTTAAATATCCTTGACAAATTTTATAAGGACTATATTTCTCAAGAAAGTTCATTCCTAATAGAATAGGTGAACGATCTAATCCATATAATTCATCTTTGTATAGAATTATTTCTTTAGTATATTCTCTTTGGTCTTCTCCTATAAGTATAAGAGGAAACTTAACATATTTTCTGATTTCAAGATTATTTCCTAAATAATCTTTAAATATGTATGGTTCTGTTATTTCAAATTCTGTTAGGTGACTAACAAATTTAGCATTTACATGACTCTTATCTGCTCTAGTATCTATGAGAACAAGAAGATTCTTCTTATATCCTTCTTGGTTCACATATCTTGTCTTTATATAGTATTGAGAACTTGATGGTTCAGCAATGCTTAGATTCTTAAATCTGCTTATCTTAGGGTCTTGTCTCGAGGGAAATCTTACTATAAGATTATTTCCTTCTAAACTAACACTATTTCTTCTTATTAATTTTCCTTCAGAATTAATTTCTCTAGCTTGTTTATGAAAATCAAGCATTATTTGTTCTGGTATAGTGACTTCATGTTCTTGGTATTTTCTAGGAGGTATATATTGTGCTAACTCCTCGAAATCTTTATGTATGATAATATTATCAGTTATTTTTCTTAAATTGTTATGATGGCTAGTACTAAAAGCAAAAATTGATTTTATGCTTATACTGACTGCCTTACTTTTTCGTAACATTTTCAAGTTACCAATTCTATAATATAGATTGAAGCTTTGGTCAATATTTTCATCACTTAATGATATTGCATAATTTGGTTTTACTGTAAATATTATCTTTTGGTAGACTAAATTTCCTACAATTGTTCCTAATAGAGCATCAATAGGATATTGTAAGATTCTATTATCCATACAATATATTTCTATTGGTATATTCATTCCTTCTCTAAAAAATCCTTTTACCATTATTTGGACTCCTCCTAACTCAATACATTTTAATTTGTTTCTTACATTTTCTGGAATCTTGGATAACTTTTGTTTTACCCATTCTTTTGTAATTATAGGTATTCTTGCTTTTCCTATGGTATCTTCTATATTGATAGACATTTCTTTATAGTTCATACTTACAATTGTTTTATTTACTCTTGGTAAAATTCCTAAGAATCCTTGATGGAATACATCTTTTTCCTGTAGATCTAATATCTTCTTAGTGATTCCTGCATATTTTTTATTATCAAAAGTTATTTCTTGATTAATACCTTCTATAGAATCTTCAACTTCTTCAGTTGTTTCTATTTCTATTTCTGATTGTTGTATTTCTTGGTTCATATATACTATTTCCTCATATTCTTCCTCTGATGAGGATGTATCTAATTCGTAAATACTACTACATTGACTGCTTAGATCTTCAAAATATTCAATTGGTTCAATATCACTATCATCTTGGAATTTTTCATAAATTCTAAGAGTTTTTATATTTTGTTTATCTTTCTTTTTAGGACATTGAGGGGCAATGTGTCCTTCTTCATTACAAATAAAACATCTACATTTTTTGATATATCTTGGTTTAGATTTCTTATTCCAATTTCTTTTCTTGAAATATTTTTTATGTGGTTTAAAATTCTTTTTACTGAATTTTTTATAATTTTTGAATTTTCTTTTATATTTCTTATATGGTTTATACTTCTTTTTATAGCATCCAAATTGTTCTACCTGACCATTATCTTTGTAGCAACATAATGAATTTTTTCTTATTTTATAAGCTTTCTTATTTTCTAGTGCTTCTCTACACCACATGCTTATCATTCTTTTTGTAAATTCAATTTTACTTCCAAGACTATCTATTTCAACTCCTTCCTCTTTTCCTAGAGGTAATAATTTCTCATATTCTTTTAATAACTTGATTCCCCATGGAAATGGTAACTTTGTAAAGTAAGATCTTAAAATATGTTTATTTTCTTGATAATCTCCTTGGTTTAATATATAGTATAATTCTTCAAATTTACATGTATATCTTTCTAACTCACACATATCACATATCTTTAAATTTTCCATTGCAATCATTCCTTGGTTATATTCTTCTTGTGTTCTTTCTTCTTCATTAGAAATATGTCTATTTCCTAGAAGTTCTATTCTTAAGATTTTCTCAAATCTTTTTAGTATTTCTTGTATATTTTGTTCATTTAAGGAATTTCTATTATCTAATACTTCAGTTCTATTTGCTCCATATTTTACACCTCCTTTGATGGTTTCTGGTAACTTTCTCTACCATTCAGAGACAGTTCCTCTAAATGTATGTTCTATAAATTCAAAGGCCGTATATGTTTCCCATTTATTAAATTGTATAGATAAATCTGTACTTTTTATCCATGTTTCAATAGCTTTATTTTTATCTACATAATCTAAATCTAACCATATTCCTGTTGTGTGAATTGGTTCATTATAAGATTTCATTGGATTTATTTCTTTTATGGATTATTTTCTTATATTTCCAGTATATCTTTTCTGGGTTTTTCTATATTGATTAATATCAACCTTATTAGGTAATGGGGTACCATAAGGATAATCTTTATATTGTTCTTCATCACTACTAAATTCTACTTTAATATCTTGACTTGAAGATGGGTTAGTGTTCATCTTTATATTTTCCATTTTTTCAGTTAATTCTTCTAACTGTTTTTTATATTCTTCATACTCTTCACCTGTAGATTCTAAGAATTTTTGTTCTATTTCTTCTACATCTGTTATCATATATTGTTTTTCTTCATGCTTTTTTCCTTTATTTTTTGTTATTCTAAAATCTTGGGGTGGATTAATTATAATCCTATCTTTTCCTCTAAGATTATTATCTAATAATGCATTTCCTACTTGTAGATTATATTCTAGATATTCTAGCCTTTTATGTATATCCTCAAAACTTTCATTTGTAGTGTTTTTAGGTAAATAGGGATAACTAGGTTTTTTATGTTTTTTAACTTTTTCCAAAAATTCTTCAATTATATTTTCTTCTTCTACTATATTCATCATTATTTTCGGTTCGTAACTTGGCTCTGATACCATTTTTTCGGAGTGTGCAGCGGAGGGGTTAATATTTTTGAGCCAATTAGATTCTTCATAAGTATTTAAAACATCACAATAGAATTTATAAAATTCACTACTTTTTACCAATATTTTTTCTTAAATAATTATGTTTAATTCTTTAATTCTTCTTCTTAAATTAAGAATTAATTTATATATATCTTTTTCTATTTTAATTGCTTCATCATCTATGAAATCATTTTTATTTTTTAGTTTTGGATCTAGATATTCTACAAAGAAATCTTTTAGATCTTCTTCCAAATAGGTTAATTCATTTTCTGTAGCGTTTTTTAGATCAATAAATTTTTTTATAATATTTGGATCTAAATTTATTAAAGACTTATGATCTCTATTTTCTTGAGGGCCTATTTGAAGGTTTTTAGACATTTTAGTGGTTTTGGTTGCAATTTCTTTATAAGGGATATTTTTGGAAAATTGATTGTTTGGAGACTAGTTTTCAAATGTTTTTATTTCTTAGACTAATTTGGAAAATCCTCCTTTTATTTAAGCTATTAGGCTGTATTTCCCTTATTATAAGCATCTTTATTTGCATCCTCAATATTCAATAAAATACAATAGCAATAAAAAAATAAAACAGAATTTATGTATTATAATATTGCCATTTTACTTAAGTTCAACTATTCTATATGGGCATACGACCCAACAATACCTATGTTCAGCTTAAAATTGGGAAAAAAAACTCATGCAGTATAAACAGAGTTTCCGATTTCAATTTAAAACTACATTTATTGAAGCACTATATTTTGCATTTACTATTGCTGATTCATAAATTGATCAAACAGTTGCAGTTCGGAACGTCCAAATTTTTTACTGAGAATTGGGAACCTATATTTAGGGTCAAAACTATTCTATCTTGCTAGAAACATAGCTTTAATCTTTTGAAGCCTAGTCACAGCTTCCCTCATATTTATTCTTTCTCTAGGAGTATCATTCAAACACTCGATCGCCAAAGCCAAAATGGATGAGACGCATTGCTCCTTTCTAGAGAAATTCTCGTCTTCTCTTCCAATCAAATTGGTATCCACAACTTCAGTTATTGCATTCTCCGCTAAAGAGTGGCTAACCCAACTTTTCAAGCTCATTTCTTCGCTAAACATCACATCTGTTGGCTTCTTCCTTGTATACATCTCCAGCAGCAAAACACCATAACTGTAGACATCGCTACTAGTGGATACTATTCCTTCAGTTCCATATTCTACATTGGCAATAAGCATTCATAAGATCAATGATAACTTAGAAGGAGACAGAAAATTCAAGATTTCACAAATTCATTTGAACAAATTATAAATCAGCCGTTTGAGATTCGAAAAAAGGAACCTACCTGGTGACATGTATCCAATTGTTGCTAAGGTCTTTGTTTGAGCCATTGACTCCGCTCCACCGAAGAGCTTGGCTATTCCAAAATCACCGACGTGGGCAACCATGTCTTCGTCGAGCAAAACATTGCTAGGTTTTAAATCACAATGTACAATGGTGAATGTATGAAAATGATGAAGATATTCTAAAGCTAATGCAACATCAATCGCTATATTTAAACTCTTCAGAATGTCCAAGAAATAGTTGGAGGAATATAACCATTTATCTAGACTCCCATTAGGCATGATCAAGGCTTTGAACTCTGTATTACTGCAACATCCGATGACTCTCAGTAAATTCCTATGACGAATGCTACTGAGTACTTGACTTTCTGTAGTAAAGCTCCTCATTAATCTTGCTTCTTCCAGCTGCAAATTGAACACTTTCACCGCAAAATTTAACCCATCAGAAAGTATCCCTCCATATACTGTACCAAAACTTCCTCTTCCAAGTATGTTGCTTTCACTAAATGTATTTGTTGCTTCTTTAAGTTCTCGGTAAGAAATCCTTCTCCATGCAAGACGTAATGAAAATACGCTATCAGGTGGAGCGTTCAATTTTCGTCTTCTTATCATCAAAATTGTCACGATGACTGCAAGGATTACTAGTACGAGAGGGGGAAGAATATATTTCGTTAGCAAGATTTCTTTCTTTGATCTGGATCTTTTAAGAGTATTTCCACAAGGTGGAAATTGTTGTCGAGTTTCACTGCAGAGAGCAAGATTTGTCATAAATGATTGAGCGCTGAAGTTGGGAAAACGTCCCCCCGAGGGAATCTCTCCCTCTAGACTGTTATGAGACACATCAATATATTGTAGAAAGTTGAGTGCCTCTAATGAGTTTGGAATGGTTCCAGAAAAATTATTGTAAGAAAGATCCAAGTATTCCAAGCTTCTCATGTTTCCCAAAGACTGAGGAATAGATCCTTGGAATTTATTGTGAGCAAAAGATAGAGAAACTAGCGATTGCAGGCTACCAATAGTGCTTGGGATATCACCTGATAACCGATTCCATGATAAATCTAGTTTGTTGATGACCTTCAAATTTTGAATCTCCGAAGGTAAGAAGCCCGTTAAACTGTTCGAGGAGAAGTTCAATTCCAGGAGATCATTAAGGTTCCACAAGCTTAAAGGCACTGTAGACTCCAATTTGTTGGAGTCTAAGTAGAGTCTTCTAAAAGATTTAAGTTTACCCAAGCATGTGGGAATTGATCCATAGAGTGTATTGTTACTTAGGTACAAGTCACCCAAATTGCTTAAATGGCAAAGGTCGGCGGGGATATATCCATCAAGTTTATTGTGCTCAAGATATATACGTTCAACACGTCTTAAATTTCCCAGGGAACTTGGGATGAATCCCGTCAACTGATTGTTGTCTAAATATAAAGCTACCAAGCTGCTCAAGTTTCCAATCTCAGCCGGAATAGCACCCTTAATGTTGCATCCAAATGCTTTGAATACCTGAAGAGAAGCGGAGAGATTCCCGATAGATGCTGGGAGAATACCATTTAGTTGATTCAAAGATACTTCAATATAATCCAAATGTCTGCAATTTGTTAATGAAGTGAAAAATCTCAATTCCGGAGTTGAAGATTCCCCAGTCAAATTGTTTTCTCCAATTATAAGGCGCTCTAGAAGTCTTAAATTACCGAAGTTGGGTATAGAGCCAATCAAAGAGTTACTTCCCATGTATAAGATTGTAAGCTTAGAAGCATTGGTGATAGAAGTCGGAATTACTCCAGTTAGTCTGTTGTCACCTAGACCAAGCTTTTCAAGATTTGGAAGTGAAAGCCCAATGGTTGAAGGAAGATGGCCAGAAAACTGATTGGCTGAGAGTCCCATCTTCTTCATCGTAGATATATTGAACATGGATAAAGGGATGGTGCCAAAAAACCCATTGTTCTGGACAAGAACTTCCTCAAGGTCAAGATTGCCAAGCTCATCTGGTAATTCTCCTGCCACAATATAAAGACTTGTTTAATCTATAAATTCTCTTATCAAGTGTTTCTTCAATGTAAAAAAATTTGTATAAAATTCGAAAATGGAAATCTGTTCGGTTGTATCTTAAGAAACTAATTAGCTCTATTAACCGTGTAATATGTCATATGATATACTTCTCCTTCCCAATAGTTTCCATACCTTCCATCTTTATATGTTACTAATATATGTGCTACTCCAACTAAATGTGTCCTAACTGTTGTGGAATGGATCTTCAATCAATGGATTCCAGACTCAGATTAAACTTACTAATCAATAAATCGACCAACCAACGAAAACTTCAAACCCACAACTCAATTCATTTATGGTTGCATTCCTCCTTTCTCACCCCCACAAAAGCACAACAATATGGTGATGTTTTGCAAGCCACAAAGGCAAAGAGAAGATAGAAGAGGGCAAGAACTTGAATAAGGTCACAAGGAAGAAGCCGTTTTCTCTCTTCTCAAACAAGGGCAAAAACACACGGCTTCTACAAAAGAAAGGTGGATATATGTAACTTTAGTTATATTATCAATTGGGCTAAGGCACAAAGGTTTGGGTCAAGACATAAAGAAGCCCTCCTATAAGTGAATTTGGGCCAAGACAACATTAAAACCAATTAAGTTGCTACTAATTGGCCACGTTGTTTTCGGGTCGAGTATATGAATGATTGGTTGATAAATATTTCACTTATCAGCCGAGGCCGATGAAATATAATTCGAAACTATTTAACATCATTGCCGGGATTTATTGGGTATCAAAACCCAACACTAACTGATATAGTAAGCATTACAAGACTCAAATCACCTAGACCAAGCTTTTCAAGATTTGGAAGTGAAAGCCCAATGGTTGAAGGAAGATGGCCAGAAAACTGATTGGCTGAGAGTCCCATCTTCTTCATCGTAGATATATTGAACATGGATAAAGGGATGGTGCCAAAAAACCCATTGTTCTGGACAAGAACTTCCTCAAGGTCAAGATTGCCAAGCTCATCTGGTAATTCTCCTGCCACAATATAAAGACTTGTTTAATCTATAAATTCTCTTATCAAGTGTTTCTTCAATGTAAAAAATTTGTTTAAAATTCGAAAATGGAAATCTGTTCGGTTGTATCTTAAGAAACTAATTAGCTCTATTAACCGTGTAATATGTCATATGATATACTTCTCCTTCCCAATAGTTTCCATACCTTCCATCTTTATATGTTACTAATATATGTGCTACTCCAACTAAATGTGTCCTAACTGTTGTGGAATGGATCTTCAATCAATGGATTCCGGGCTCAAATTAAACTTACCAATCAATAAATCGACCAACCAACCAAAACTTCAAACCCACAACTCAATCCATTTATGGTTGCATTCCTCCTTTCTTACCCCACAAAAGGACAACAATATGGTGATGTTTTGCAAGCCACAAAAGCAAAGAGAAGATAGAAGAGGGCAAGAACTTGAATAAGGTCACAAGGAAGAAGCCGTTTTCTCTCTTCTCAAACAAGGGCAAAAACACACGGCTTCTACAAAAGAAAGGTGGATATATGTAACTTTAGTTATATTATCAATTGGGCTAAGGCACAAAGGTTTGGGTCAAGACATAAAGAAGCCCTCCTATAAGTGAATTTGGGCCAAGACAACATTAAAACCAATTAAGTTGCTACTAATTGGCCACGTTGTTTTCGGGTCGAGTATATGAATGATTGGTTGATAAATATTTCACTTATCGGCCGAGGCCGATGAAATATAATCCGAAACTATTTAAAATCGTTGCCGAGATTTATTGGGTATTAAAACCCAACACTAACTGATATAGTAAGCATTACAAGACTCAAACTCTTTCGCTCATTCTACAGAGTAAACCATGGAACCACAACCTCCAAAAATAACAAAATAAGCCTTGTTCTAAATACATTTGGGTATGACCTAACCTGTGAGACCATAAAAACGAAAAGTTGTTGATCAAAGGGACTTCGATGCAAACTAATGAGCTATAAGTAAAGCGAAAGAATTTTTTTATTTTTCTTATGATAATGGAAGCCTTGTATTTACTTTATCATTTTTCTTTTACTTTATATTAGTCCATTATTCTTTTCCTGTTTCAAAATGTTCAGTTGAGAATGTAAACTGAACGACTCGGAGAGAGACTTATTCCAGGTAGAATAATTTTGGTTTTCTAAATTTTGATGAAGAAAATTGTAACTCCAAATCATATTTTTTTTGTGCAATCCAAAAGTTTCCATCTTTCCATTTAAATTGGCTTGAATATGAGGAAACGTGCTAGTAAACTAGTGTTATTGTGTTCGTGTGAAGAAGGTTAGGGGTTTCAGAAATAGCCCTTGTACAGCCTGCATCATGAGATAAGACTTCGTGTACTAGCTTAACTGCATTTCTTTTGAGATGAGTGAAAAGAAACTTGAAAAAACATGGTAATATCATCATCATTCAGAATTTATGATGTGAAATCTGATTACATACCTGTCAATTCATTATTATCTAGATTTAGATACTTGAGTCCAGTGACGTTTCCAACTTTCGCAGGTAGACCACCTGTAAGTTTGTTATCTGATAGTGATATGATCGAAAGCCTTTCACAATTCAAAACGGTTGAAAGAGTTGGACCACTCAGCTGATTGGATTGAAGATACAGCTCTTCAAGCTTAGGAAGATTATGAAGAATATCAAACGGGAGGCTTCCAGACAGGCTATTGTTAGCAAGGTCAATCACTTTCAGAGAAGATATGTTGAGAGACGGAATTGGCCCTGTTAGAGAGCCACCTTGTATGCTCAATATTTGCAGACGTGAAAGATTACCTAATGCCAATGGAATTCCTCCTGAAAAGTTTCAAAATTTTAAAACACAATGCCATTTCTTGAATCAGATTTTGCATTCATGTTTACATAACAAGTACGAGTAATGTTATTCAACATCATCAGTGTCAAATACCAATTTAGGTGACAACTACCTGTTGTCGATTTTTATATCCCGCAAGTATACGGATTGTAACAAGTAAAAAAAGGGACCTAAGAAGCCGGATATCGTTCCCATGAAGACTGCTATTTAACAATTGATAATTTGATTGAAAACAATAATAAGTTTTGTGGTTGGTATCTAAATTATTCAAACTAAATATCTAATGTACACAACTTATCGAATTTGGATTTTAAAAGTATGAATATAGATGCTAGGACTTACAATTTTACCTATGGACCCCCTTCAATTCACCAGTCAAGAGTCATTACAATTGTAGTTATTGGTCGAATTCTTCTAAAGTATTCAATTTATTCCTCTCAAGTTCACATCGAGCCTATTTAACTAATTCAATCTTATATTTCCTATGTGAATCAATTTTAGTTAAACGAAAGATTAGTTCTAAGAATTCATTTAACAACCGCAATAATTAGTATATGTATCTTTACACTTTATACTAAATTATCAAATTTTACTATGTGGTCTAACACTAAAACTCACCTCTTGAATCGTAATAGATTCATAAAATCATTGAATAATTGGCCAAAGAATTCAAAGTATTAAATTCATGAATAAATCAACACATTTGCATTTAAAGATCTAAAATCTTGAATAAAAGAAATAAAGAGTCACACATAGATCACATTGTTCACTCTAGCTATAAATTTAGCTATTCATAATAATGAAAAAAGCAAAAGGTATAAAGTTCATAATCAGGTTTTGAAATCTTAATCATGGAAAGAATTGGATCTTGCACCAAGAATTTTATTCAACCTCAAAAGTCTTCAAACCTTAGTTTTTGCGCTTTTATCTTGATGATTATGCATTTTCCTCTCCCCCAAATTGCGTGGGACTCCCATCAAAAGTTTCAAAAACTTATATTTATAGTTGCCCCACATTTTTTGTTGCTGTAAGGTTTTTATGGGCTTTAAAATGATCGGATCTCTCCCTAATCAGTATTAGGTAGTGCCTACGTGATGCCGCAGCACTAAGAAGACAGAGTGTTGGCACCTAGGCACTATGGTGGCACAACGTCGAGAAAATTTTAGTATTGTATCTCCTTTAGTATTTTCATACTAATTTTCTCTCCCGATATCCGATTGACACGATTCAAATAAAGTTGTAAAGATAATTTAAAGGGCTACAATATTATTAGAATTAGCTCTTTTTCAATTCGAATGTTTATAAGGTCAAAATGGGTCTCAATCTCTAGCTGAAAATCTGAAACATCGAGCATCCTTGTGTGGTTGTAAATTGATTTGTGAAAATATTTTAGTCATATTTCACTCCTTTTAACTTCTAATTACATCCAATTAACCCCACCATTCTTGAATCTTCATCGTGAGATCCAACACAACTTTTGAGTATTTTCACTTTAGTCCCCAAACTTTGGGTCTTGCGCTTTTTGCTAATTTTTGCTTTTTTCTTTCAAAAAAACTATTAAATTTATATATTTTTAGGTCCAAATAAGTGTATAATATACACTGATCACTATCTGACATTAAATGATCAGTAAAATACAATGTCATCTTTCACTAAGGAAATTCAGCTTGGCAGCCATTTTAGACACCAACTTTGGATCGGTAACAAACAAAGTCATTGACTCATTTAATTAAATCTACCAAATGTGGTCATCTAAACTAGTGCTAGGTATCAGCCATTTTTGCATCTAGAGGGAGTGTTTTGAATGTTTCCACATTAGAAAGATAGACAGAAAGGAGAGGATGATTCAAAAATTTCTATGCACCACAAATTGCTTTCAAAGATCAAGAATAAATTTTTTTTCTTGCGTTATATAAAACTTTATTCCACTACCTTCTGTTTCTAAAAGAAGTGTCAAGGGCCTTCGTAATATACTCTGTGGTTTATATACATTTACATATACCATTTTATTTTAAAAAAAAATAAAAATCCACAAAGGGAACTAGGAATTTTTCATAAAAAGAAAGGGATGATTGTGATTAAGAGACGAAGCTCCTCACCTATTGAAGCCCCTTCGAATGGAAATAAATGTTTTATATATAAAATTTGTGGGTTTGGATCTGAAAACAGTTATGTGAAATTTTACAACAATCCCTTTCATGATCTTGATTGCTCTAGGCTATCACTATGCTTTACGAACAATTGAATTTAAGCTAAGAGCACTCAGCGATAAAATTCCACGTCGAATAAAAATGAAAACATAGACCATCTTATAAAGGATTTGGCAAGCAAAAAAATTAAAATAAGCGTGAACCTGATTCATGGTTAACAAGCATTGCCTTAAAATATATATATTTAGTTACAATCATACCTTCCCAGTCGTTTATCCCCAGAAATAAGCTTCTGAGATTGGTCAAACCGCCAATTGCACTTGGTATGCTTCCATTGAAATGATTGTAGGATAATGATAGGACTTGGAGGTACCTGCACTTGTATATATTTGATGGAATTTTCTCAGAGAGTAGATTATGTGATAGATCGAGTAATGTCAATTTTGGGATACTATCACATGTATTTTCCGGAAGCCTTCCTGACAGACTATTAACTGAGAGGTCAAGCACGTTCAAAGAAGATATATTAAAGATACCAGGAGTTATGGACCCTGTAAGCAGGTTAAACCTTAAATTCAAAATCTTCAGCGCAGAAGTATTGCCAATCTCCAGCGGAATATTCCCAACTATAAAATTGTTACTCATTTGCAATGTTTGCAGCTTTGAATTGTTGCATAATGACGACGGAATACTTCCGGAGAAATTATTGTTATTGAGAAAAATATGCTCAAGTTCTGGTAATGTTCCAAACCATGATGGCACCTCTCCACTGACACTGTTAAATCCCACATTTATCAACTCTAAGTGACGCAAATTAGAGAGCTCGGGAGGTATTATCCCAGAGAAATTGTTGGAGCTGATGTCTAGCGAATGGAGAAACGTTAGATTTCCAAGATGTGGAGAGATGGTGCCTCCGAAATCGAACCCCGAAAAATTCAATGATATGACTCTTTGCCGATTTCTGCTGCAAGAAACACCAATCCAGTTGCAAATAGACGTATTAGCCATCCAATTATCAACCAAGATATCATAAGGGTCTGAAATTATTCCGGCTTTGAAGCTAAGAAGTGCTGCTTCATCTGTGTTTGAGGAAAGTGCAAAGCAGTTCACTGATAACAATGCAACAGCAATGAAGAAGCAGATTTTCTCCATGAATATGAAACTTTTGAGTTGCACAAGATTGTAATGTAAATGAAGCATGTCAACACTCTTTTTAATATGGAATTAATCATTTAGCTATTTTAAAAACCTTCCAACAACTAAAATTTCAATAATACCAATCTTATCCTTGACAAAAGTTGACTTTACAATCATTCAATGATACTTTCTTGATGAACCTTACGTTGGTTGCAGAGCATCCCTATATGGATGCTATACCAGTGCCCCGGTAAACATTGACTAAAAAGCACAATTCACAAGAATTTAATTTTTTTCTTTTTTCATACTCTGACCTCTTCTATGGCAATTAGATGAAAGCGTCGAAGTCTTCTCATCTTTATCACCATTCAAAACCAATAACATGTTTGTGTGCAGACAGATTTCTGGGTTTTTTAATGATTTTTAGTTTGCCAAGTACCATAAAGGGGGAAAAGTTATTTTTTTCTATGAAATAAGTAACGGTTGACTTTTTTTCCCTATAAAATAAATAACAATGGACATGTCTTGAGGTTGAAGAATTTGTAAATTGATACAATTTTATGGCAAACCATTATTTTATTAATATTCATTTAAATTAAATAAGAGGATTCGTAGATTCAAATATTAGTAATTTGTCAATCACAAGGAGTTGTGATTGTGAGATACAAATTATATATAGTTGAATATTAAATCATCCGTGATCGTAAGTAATAACGATATACGAATATCATTATTATAGATAGATTATCACGTGTGGCATTTCTTACTTGTGAAGTAAGTAGCTGATCTCATAAGTTAAAATGTGGTGATACTTAAAATGAACATATTGATGTTTTTTTATAGAACAAACATTGGTCGTTAAGAGATTCCACATAAATAACTATTTGAGTGTCAGTGGTGAATCTCTAATATTCGATAGTAAAATTGTACCTTATATGAGAACAGTCATACTTTGGTAATGTTAAATGTTGCTCTATCGAGAGTCACTAATACGACATCGTTCGGGTATGTCAAGAATCATATAAATGTTGTGAATGATCGATAGATGATTCGTCATTTTTAGATAATAAGAGATTATGATCTACATTTCAACAACTAAAATTCTAATAACACCAATCTTATCCTTAACAAAAGTTGACTTTACAATCGTTGATGAAGCCCGCAAACTCTATTTTTTTAATTTGGAATTAATCATTTAGCCCTCGTTTGACCCATTAAAACACATTATTTGTCAATTTCTCAAATTAGTGCAAGCCCCCTGTGTAATAAAGTCAAACAGTGCAGTAGAATTCAAACGGAGGGTAACTGTTGGTCAAAGTACTAAATGATAAAATTGCCCTCCGAACCACTCCCTTCAAATGGGCATCTAGTTTTGATATTGGAGGGTAGTTTCGTCCATTGGTACCAACATTCCTTTTGAAAAACATGGTACACTGCAAATGATGAAGAAGGTAGTAGAATGGACCCCACTTGGTTAAAAAAAAAGGGTTGAAAAGTGGCTAAAAAAATTAAAGTGTTTTAATGGAGGCCAAACAAACGCTTAGCTATTTTAAAAAACCTTTCAACAACTAAAATTTAAACAATACCAATCTTATCCTTGACAAAAGTTGACTTTACAATCACTGATGAAGCATGTCAACACTCTTTTTTATTTGGAATTAATCATTTAGCTATCTTAAAAACATTTATACAGCTAAAATTTCAATAATACCAATCTTATTCTCGACAAAAGTTGACTTACAATCACTCAATGATATTTTCTTGGTGAACCTTGCCTTGGTTGCAAAATTTGGCGGACCTACTCATAGTCCTCGTGGGTCAAATGATCCACCAACTTCAATTTTATTTATTTTTTTTTTTTTTTGACAATCAAAATTGGCAGTAAAGGTAATTGGGCTTGTTTATTAGAATGGAGTTATAGCAATGACCGAATAATTGAGAGAGTGAGAATTGAGATTATTTTGTGATTTGCGATATTTAATTTGAGAAATCTTTAGAAATTGTTATTCATCATATATATGAGATTATTTGAAATTGTTGAAGAATTGTTATTTATCGTATATATAAGATTTGTAAATCTATGATAGTAATCACTTGTATGTGTTCTTGTAGAATACATAATTTTTTAATAACTATTTTAATAAGTTTGATTTTTCCCCACTAACTCTAAGCGTCTACTGTTGGAAATTTATTTAATTATGCACAACAAAATTTAAACAATATTTCAATTTCTACCAAATATCTCTTTGTGTTTAGATAAACATTGTAATACAAATTATACATTTTTTAAATTCTGCAAACTCCTTTACTTTTCTTTAATTCCAACAATTACAATCTACAATCTACACATGTCCAATTGTCCGGCTACCAATGAAAATCTACATAGGAACAAGATTGAGAGAACCAAGGTATTTATCTTTCATGTGCTAACAAGAATATGAAATTTCTCTATACTTTTTTTCTACAGTTTTCAAACTCTAGCGACTTATTTATATAAGTCCAAACGGACTTGACTAATTAAATCAGATCCATGAATTAATTAATCTAATTAATTAATTCGAGCTTATCAATAAGCAGTTCAATTAATTAATTATCCAACATTTACTAACTAATCAAGGAAAAATTTCATAAGTAAAACATTAAGTATGGCATATTTCAAAATCAACAAAACAAATTTCAAACTTCAAAAATCATATTTTTATTAAAATTTATTTATGATTTAATTATTTTATTAATTAAATATATTTAGGTCACAGATCTATGTAATTTGATCACGAATTAACAATTTAATTACTAATTTATTATTTTTTGGTCACAAATCAAAACTTTTATGTCACAAATTATTTTACGATCACAATTCAAAAATTTTGCAGGTCACAGTTTGTTCATCGGTGATAGATCAAAAATTAATTAGTCACGAATTAATTTTTAGTCACAACTTATCAATTTATTGGCCACAACATATTTCTCGATCACAAATAAAAAAATTTATAGGTCACATATTATTTTTCGATCATGAATAAAAAAATTTATAAGTCACAAAATCAAAACTTTTATTGGTCACAACTCATATATTCATTGCAAATTAATTAGATTAATTGGTTAAAATTAATTCTTTAGTCACAACTTAATCAATTGTAAGTCACTGTCACAATTTTTAGGTCACACATTATAAATTTAGTCATGGTCACAAATTCGGCCACATATTATTTACCGATTACAAATTAACAATCTATTAATCATAATATAATTGATCACAAACACTTTTTTCACCCATTGCCACCCCGCCAACCACCACCACCACCACTAGCTTCACTAGCACCAAAACCACCCAAATTCCCAACAACACCAAAACACAAACGACCACCACTACTCCAACAAAAAAAATACCACCACGCCCATAACCTATAACAACACCATCGCAACCTCACTACTGAATCACCATCACAATAGCAACGTTCACCAACCAAAAAAATTTTAAAAAATTTTTTAAAAAAAAACCGCCCAACCACCGAATCGCCACCACCACTGCCATGTCGTACCACCATCGAACAGTCACCCAATGCCTATACCACTACCATCACCACCTGTAACAACATCGTCGCAACCTACCACTTAATCGCCACCACTACTACAACGTTCACAACACAATCAATTACCAACAAAAATACCCTAAACTCTGGTAAAGGTACAGATCGGAGGAAGAAATCACAGTCCACTTCGTGCAACGGTGGCACACGACGCTGCTGCCTCGCGTTCTTACAACATCGTTTTTGAGAGAGAGAGAGACTTTTGCTAGAGAGGTTCGAATAGAGAGGGGGAATTGAGGGTGAAATAATGTAGGGTTTGAATTATGTAGGTAAATTTATTAATTAATCTTTAAATATATTAATTAATAAATCTAATTTTTGAAAGAGTAAACTTTGTATATGATTTGTAAAATGGAATATTTAAATTTATTAGATTGTGTAATTTTCACATTAATTAATTGGTAAATCTCATTCTTCTAGTTCACTTTTTGTGTGTAAATCATTAGGTTCTAAATCATGATACCTAATAACATAAATTGTTATTTTGATTTGATCAAAATCGATAAATTAAAACACATCTTTTAATTTATTACTAATTAACATCCGTCATCTCAGATTGACATCTCACAATATGTTAGGAAAATACATATAACGAAAAATGTCAAGCGGTATGACAAAATCAAACCTGTTCAGTAACCGTGAAACTATAATCCCTTACGTCAATATGATCCGATCAATTACAAGATATGGAAGTGTGTCAATCTCGATTATCGATCATATCTTTCATTCCATGATTAAGTCAATATAAGTCGAAAACTCTTTTTTCGACTTATGAGTATACATTGGCCAATGATTTTATTATCAACTTAATTGAATAAAATGTATATCATAATCTCTTACTATCTAAGAGTGATGAATTCTCTATGGTCATTCACAACTTTCATATGATTCTTGATATACTTAAACGATTCCGTATTAGCGGCCCTTGGCAAAGCAACATCCAATATCATCAAAGTATGATTGTCTTCGTATAAAACACTATGATAACCTTAAGTCGAAGGACCAATTTCACTATCGAACGTTAGAGATTGACTACTGATACTTAAATAGTTATCCATGTGAAATCTCTCAAACAAGTCCCCAATATTTTATTTTATAATAAAACATCCACGTGTTCATTTAAGTGTCACCACACTTTAATTTGTGAGATCAGCCACACGCAATAGTCTATCCGTAATAACGAGATCTCTCAAGCACGTCCCCAATATTTTGTTCTATAATAAAACATTCACGTGTTCATTTAAGTGTCACCACACTTTAACTTGTGAGATCAACCACACGCGTTAGTCTATCCGTAATAATGACATTTATATCTCGTTATTACTTATGACCATGGATGATTTAAAATTCAGTCATACGTAGTCTGTATCTCACAATCACAACTCCTTGTAATTACAAAATAATCAAAACTTAAATCTACGACTCTATTA